TCAGGAGCAATCAAAATTCCAGAATTCAGTATCTCAAAAGTTGGCAAGCCTGGAGTATCCAAATGATAAAAGCAAGTTTAGATGAAAATTTTGTTCCCATGTATTTATCATCGGTCATTCAGGTGTAAAAGCTTTGAACACTCACATGGTACCTCAAAAACACATAAAAGCCCAAACCAGCCATTGTGGTGCCAAGTCTATTCTTAAGGTTACCAAGAACAGAACAAGTGTTGTGAGAGATACTGAAAGGAGCACCAACAGTAATATAATAGTAATCAACTAGAGCAGTTGTTGACACAAGTCTTCTCATTCATGAGATATTTTCAGGCTGAAAAATAGCTGAGATTTCAGTGTAGTTGCACAAAACGTGGCTACCTTGGAACATTAATTGGGATTGCCCCAGTGATGTAGTCGACTATCCTAAGATGTATACGAAATAGCTCCTTATACGTGATTCTCTTTGACGAGAGCCTTAACATTGACAATGGCAAGAAACAACTTGACTTATATTTTTTTGGGTGTGGTAGGATTTTTAGGAGGAAAATTTCCCTGGCCACCCTGCCCGGGGAAAATTCAAAATTTCCTACAAATTGAAAATGTTATGTGTGTCCCGAGCGCTTATATGACCTTATGCAGTTGCAAGCGCCGCAAAACACTTAAAAAGAAAAAAAAAAGTGATTGTTGTCTGCCATGTGTGAAGAGTGGAATGTTCCACAGCTTTGAATAACCTCAACTGTTTTCACTCATACAAACAATCCCCACAGGTGTATTTTTTTTTTACTGCATTTTACATGATGCATTCTCAGATTTGTATTTCTGGCAAACATCTTTGCAAATAGTTCAAGGGTGATACTTCTCCTCCTCCTCCTCCTCCTTCTCCTCCTCCTCCTCCTCCTCCTCCTCAATATCTTGATTATTATACCTATCCCTATCATATTGATATTATTTTTATCATTATTGTTGTTTCATTAGATAGCAGTGGCATCGGTAGCCTAGTGGTTAGGCTACCGGACTCGTAATCGTGAGATTGCTAGTTCGGGGATTGGAGCCTCAGCTTGGTCCGACGTTGTGTCCTTGGGAAAGGCACTTTACACGAACTTCCCACTTGGCTCGGTCCTATCGGAGACAGACATTAAACTAGGAGGTCCCGCCCCTTAAATAACCTAATAGTGTTGATAGGGGCGTTAGACCTATACCATTTCACCATTTCATTAGATAGCGAAAGATCTTGTTAGTGATTATGCTCCTATAAAATGGCAGTTTTGCACTGCATGCTTTTCAGGAAGTTTCAGAATGCTATCAGGTCTGCTGAGACAATATAGATTGTAAGGGGCATGCATAGAGCTTGCTGTTGAGTGGTAATCTGCGCTACACCAATGCCATTTATTATTATTTAAAATATTTATTATTTTTGTTCTAATATTTATTGGCCAAAGAGAGTGTTGTTGGAGGGTGCCACTAGTAGGGGCTACTTCTTTACTTAACCTCTGTTGTTTCTGTCTTACTTTTTCCCACCATCATTATTTTGTTCATGTGCTTCTCTTTACTCGAACAAACCAAACAAATAGCAATGTTCTGTCGTCTGCTTTCGTCTCTTTTTTTTTGCCACTACCCCATTACCTCCTTTGCCCCCTCCTCTTGGCCCCTGACTCTTTCTGTAGCCTTGCTACTTCTACTCCTTGGTTCCTTCTTACTGCTGTCTTTCAGCCATACCCTTAATCTTCTGGTAGGAAAGATCTACAGCTAGCCCTCTCGAATAAGGGCGGAAAATTTTGGTGGTCTCGTGTCCAAGTTGCGCTCGTTAAAGACCCCTAAAAAGTAGGCTTCGGGCGTCACCTGGGCAAAATTCAAAATGTCCTATCAACTGAAAATGTTTAATGTTTCCCGCACGCTCACATGACCTTATACATTTGTGAGCGCCGTAAAGCACTTACAACCCAACCACCCCCCAAAAAAGAAGGGGAAAAAAAGGAAAAAAAAAGAAAAGGAAAAACGAACTACCCACCAAACAAGTAAGTCGCCATGGATGATTAGAAGTCTCCTAACGTGTACGTTTTATATTCTTTACGAGCTCCTATGGCTTGTTCACTTTTGTCAGTAGGCAGTGAAAGCAAGAT